ATTTAAAAATAAATGTAAGAAATTGGATTGGATCTCTTTAAAAGCAAAGGAATGGCTTTAGCACTGCACTGCTGCATTACAATGTTTGATAAATGACCTTACTGATATTTCTATTATTTCACATAAAGGATGGAATGAATATATGTAGAAGACAGTAATAGGATTCTGAGTCAGCACCAAGGACAGCACACATCATAATCTATTGCATTGCAGCATGTCAGCCTGACCTCTGTCCTTTTGTATATGGCATGTGTGTCATCTCTTCCTCAGCATTATTCTTTGCTTTCTAAATACCTGTGATTGTTTGTATTTATCTGCGGGTTTCCACTTCCTTTCAATTTTTGCTTGTACATCTTCCCATTAATCTCTTACCTTCTAAAGTCATCGCCAAATATGATGATCATTTATAATCTGTTTGAGGAAATGCTTTCTTTCAATGCACATGTTGATAAAAGTAAGCACATATGGATTTTCACATCGCATCAAGTAGATTCATTTATGCCATGCCAAATCATCATGCAGTTTACACATGGTTAGACTTCCATTTGCTGATTACCTCTTTAATTTTTTCATTCTCTGTACTCTGTTCTTTTCCCCCTTTGCCTCTAAAACAGTAAACCCCAAACAATTTGTACTTTTTACTAGGAAATCCTAGGTTCCTCACTCCAGGCTCTGTGCCTCCACATCTTGTCCTTGGGTTCACGATAGGGTAGCGGACACTGCCATCACCAAGCCATCCAGCTTCACACCTATCCATAAGCTGCAGCTTCCAGGCAGCGTACAGTTGGCCTACTTTGGCTACAGAATCACCATTTTTTTCACAGGCCTTTGAGGCATCTGGGAAGCTCATCTTGTGATATGTCTTCAGAAAGTAAACTTTACCTAGGGAGAAATATCTGTAATTAATCATTTAAAATTTTTGTATAACGTATCTGAATTACAACTTTGTGCAAAGTGATAATAATGGAAACAAGCTGAAAAAAAAAGAAAAACTCCATTTAATTAAGTGTCCTTATAGACCCCCTTAAATCCTAAGGAAATGCTATACAAACTGTAGATCCTCTAATTCCCACTAGAGTTCTTACACTTGGCAACTAAATGGCAGGGAAGGGCTTAAAATTGATTTAAAGAGAAGTTTAGGTCCTATGTACAGACTTAGGAATGGACTTGGGAACAAAAGGGTTCACAGGGTCACAGGGATCTAAAGACTAACACAGGTGCTTGCACTTTCCTAAAGGTGTCTATATTTAAGGACTGCTGTTATTTTATAAATTTTTAGGGCCAGGTCAGGCTCGTTTTAATAGATGTGTTTTGCATCTGTTGTAATACTTTGACTGTGGAGTACTAATGTTTGCAGGTTTAAAAATAGGTAAAGTACGCTGGGATTTAATAAAAACTATAGTGGTTTTGGCATTCTGTATTCTGATAATATAATTTAGTATTTTTTTCTTACTCTGGCAGGATGCCAATTAAGACTAAGCAGCAAGATGAGTGTGTATATGATCCATGCCATTAACTACCATACTCACAGTCTTGTCTCCAAAACTGCCACTAGTGCAGCAACTGATTAGAATTTCATATATACTCAGGAACAGTGCTAGACTATATTGCACCCTAGGCAAGACTTGCCACCCTCTTCTAAAAAAAAAAAAAAAAAAAATTTCACCTGATGTTCTACTTCACCCCTCCTAACGAACATCCTCCTTCCCCTCAAATTTTCCTCCCTAGCACAAATCCTCTCTCACAAATCCCCTTTCTAGCATAAATCCCCCCAATCCCACCTCCCAGCACAAGCCCCCTTAAATCCATCTTCCAAGCACAATTCGCACCAAATTACCCTTCCCAGCACAAATCCTTCCTCCTCATCCAAATCCCCCTTCCTAGCATAAATCCCCCTCCAAGCACATAACCTCTCCCAATCCCCTTCCCCACACAATTTTCCCCCCAATCCCCCCTCTTATCAAAAATCGCTCCCCTCCCCCCAATCCCTCTCTCCTAGCACCTTAGAACAAATTGCCCCCTCCAAATCCTCCCTCCTAGCATAATCCCCCCCAAACCCCCCTCCTAACACAAATCCATCCCTGACCCCCGTCCTAACACAAATCCCCCCCAAACCCCCAACCTAACATAAATCCTCCCTCCTAACACAAATCCCCCCAAAATCCCCTCTCCTAACGCAAATCCCCCAATCCCTTCTCCTAACACAAATCCCCCCCCCCCAATCCTCTTCCTTCAAACCCCACCTAGGATAAATTCCCCCAAATCCCTCCTCTGCCTTAAACCTCTCCAAATTACCCTTCCCAGCATAAAATCCTCTCACCGTACCCAAGTCCCCCTCCCCTTTTACCTTTTAGCACAAAAGTCCTCCAACCTCTCTCCCTAAACCTCCTAGCACATATCCCCCCATTCCTTCTCCTAGCAGGAATCTTCCATACAACAGATGACATAGGATCGCTCTTGGATCGGGCTGTACACAGTTTGATTACCCCACCCCCTATCTTCTCCAATGACTGCTCATCTCTCAGTAGCAGGGAGCCAGGGAATGAATCCAACACTGAAAATGCTGATTCTGTGTCATCTGCTTTATGGAGGATAGCTCCACTGACAGGAGAGGAGAGCACAGCTTGCACCTCCTGTTTCTCTCCTGTCATTTCTCCTTTACAGGCTTCACTGCTCCAGGCTGCCCTTCTTTTGTCCCAGCCATGCGTGCGGGGATGGGGGAAGGCCTGGGGGGCACAGATGAAATTTAGGGTGAGTCGAAAGCCTCCCCAGCATCCCCTGGATCAAGCCATGGCAGGGAGTAGGGAAACCAGCAGCACCCTAGATGGCAGTGCACCCTAAGCAGCTGCATAGTATGCCTAGTGGTAGCACTGGCCCTGTATATATATATATATATATATATATATATATATATATATATATATATACAGTCATGGCCAAAAATTCTGTAAGATAATGCACCACTTTGCCCACAAAAGTGTTGCATTTACAAATGTTTAGGCATGTTCATGTTTATTTTTTTTGTTTGTTTGGTGTGACACAAAAAAGTGGAGGAACAAAAAGCCAAATCCAAAGTCCATCTCCCAGAGATATTAATGTTCCTGTGTCCACTATGCACAACATCGTCAAGAAGTTTACAGCCCAGGGCACTGTACCTAATCTCCCTGGACATGGACAAAAGAAAAAAATTGACCAAAGATTGCAGCAAAGGTTTGTTTGATTGGTGGCTAATAAAGAAAAGAATACAGTCCTTACAGTCAAACATGGTGGAGGTTCACTGATGTTCTGAGGTTTCTTTGCTGCTTCAGGCACTGGATGTCTTGACTGTGTGCATGGCATTATGAAATCTGAAGACTACCAAATAATTCAAGGGTGCAATGTAGGACCCAGTGTCAGAAATTCGGGTCTCCATCAGAGGTCAGAGGTCTTACAAAAGGACAATGACCCAAAGCACATGTCAAAAAGCAACTAGAAACGGTTTAAGACAAAGTGCTGGAGAATACTGAACTGGCCAGCAATGAGTCCAGATCTCAATCCCATAGAGCACCTGTGGAGATATCTCAATACAGCAGTTTGGAAAAGGAACCCTTCCAATCTGAGAGACCTGGAGCAGTTGGCGAAAGAAGAAAGGTCCAAAATTCCAGTAGAGAGGTATAAGAAACTTATTGATGGTTACAGGAAGCGATTGATTTCAGTTATTTTTTCCAAGGGCTGTGCTTCCACACCCCTTGGAAAATACATTAAAGTGAGGGTGCCAATCATTTTGTCCAATCCATTTTAGGAGTTTTGTGTGGAATGTGCCAGATTTGAATTTTTGTTCCTCCATATTTTTGTGCCATTCCAATACAAACAAAAGCAATAAACGTGAATGCCTAAACATTTGTAATTACAACAATTTTCTGGGTGATGTGGTGCATTATCTGACAGAAATGCAGGGGTGCCAATATTTTTGGCAATAAATAAATACACACACATACATACAGTTTAATTTTGTGTGTGTGGGGGGAGGGGCCATCATACTGTAAAACACATCAAGAAATACATAAACAGACAGCTACTATACAACACACATGTACACATTTTCATGAGGATTCATTAATACAACCAACTAGCAAAACTGCTCTTTTCATTTCTCATTTATACAAACTTTTTTATTCCTTTCTCTTCTTTCATCACCTTACAAATTTTACTTTCTTAAAACTGTGTTTCCCACACTGTTAACAGAACATGTTTATATCTGTGTAACATCTTTCTGATAAACTAATATACCAGCTTATTTTGGAAAGCATGTTATATTTAGTTATACATTGTACCCAATGTAAAACACTCTCTTCTTTATTTCCTTAGAGGGCTATCTAAAGATGTCAGAACTTGGCTTTCTATGAGTAGGTGTCCACCAGTTTTTCTAGTTTCAACAAAGATTGAAACAAAAAGTTTATTTATTTAGGCAATTAACCCAGGAGTACAAGCAATGAGCACACTCAAGACTCTGAGGCCTGCCAACCCACCTATCACTAGCAGTCAGTCAGAAAGCCAACATCAACTATTGGTCTAGAAATGGAAAAGTAATTGCTATATTGGGTCTAAAAGCCTGCTTATGGGTCTAACTTTATGCAGCACAAATCTCCATGTGCACACTGCAACATGAATGGTGACTTCCATCCATGATGGTCAGTTGCATGCCTCCTAAACAATAGGCAAAACTAATTTGCTAACTTACCACACTGCTATTTTCACACTGGTGGCTGGCTGCCAAGCAATTCTGCTGCACAGAGACATACCAGGATGTGATAAAGTCAGGGGCGTTGAGTATTCTGTACATTTATGGCTGCCTACAGATGGTTAGTATTCATTATCAGCATGGCAATAACATTATTTAGGTGGATAATCGAAACGCCTGTACAGGGATAAAAGTTGTATGAAATTGCTCTCGTACCTTACTTTATCAGTGGTGTCAGGAAAACATAGGAAGGTGACATTTTAACTCAACATAGATATAACTATTTTGCTGAGAGACCCACTATACCATTGAGATTTGATGTAAAACAGAAGGCATCATAACGCTCATCCTCCTTGTGCCGGTATCCATAGTTCCTTACTCCAATAGGTGTTTCTTTTTTTCCACATTCTTCCCGTGGTTTGGAGATTGGGTATTGCACAGAGCCATCTTGCAACCAACCAGCGTTGCACCAGTCAAGACCATTCAGCCAAGCTTCATGAAGCTGATCATAAGAAGCAAGGATACCATCCTGCTGCTTGCAGGCCTTCTGAGCATCATGAAAGTTCATGTGGTATCGTCCTAAGCGTGGATAATAAGGGAAGATCACTCCTGAATGGAACATATAATATAAAAATTAGAAACACAATAAAATGTGTTTTTTTTATAGAAACACATTTCAGCAGTTAAGAAGAATGCAGCATGTGAGCTATTATACCTTCTAAGTCAAGTTTGACAGTCCCAGTGTCATCTTCTAGCTCATTGGTCACCTCACACTCATATCTCCCATAATCAGCCAAGGTAACATTGCGGACGATCAGTGAGGCATCCCCTGGATCATGTTCTTGAAGGGAAACACGGTTCTTGTAGGGGCCAAAGTCCCTCATTTCCTTTCCCAGAGCTACAAACACATCAGTGAAGGATGCAGGCTCACTGATCTTGGACCATTTTATGCGTACTGGTGCAGGTTCCTCTCCAGAATGCTCATAATGATAACGACAAGGAAGGATTATGGTGCCACCACGATGTGTGGTCACCACACCTGGCGCTGTTTGTACAATGACTTCACCAGTTTCACCCTCTGCCCATAGTGGTTATAGTTCACCAAAGAGAAAAATGGAAAAAACAGATAAAAAAAAGGTCATGAGTAAAACAAAATGGACTCAAGAGAGGGTCAAATCAACACATCATGCTAAATTTTTCCTTAGTTATATTTTTGGAAGTATTTTTAATAATAAAGCCATCTAGACTGAAACAGCACTCTCCATAGTGTTTTGGGCCATCAAATGTATCACATTAAAATACACAGTGGATGGGACATTCACTTAAAGGCCTACTGTGTAATCATTGTATTTACCCACAAGTCATCTCTCCTTTGTAACGGGTTACTTGTACTTTATAATCCAGTGAAGTCTCAACAGCTGTCAAGATATGATGTTAACCAGATTGGTGCATTGGCATACTCATTGACATGCATTGTTGATTGTTTGCCTTTAAATAATTTTGTCCCTTCCTTACTCCATAGCTAGGAGATGTTCCGTATAGGTAGTCCCACCCTCTTTTCAATGTGTCTTTAGTTTCTGTTTAGAGTACATTGCTGGAGCAAATACACACTTTTTTTTACCTTTCTTATTGTCATAATTGAAGATTAAGCCCTAGTTCACACTGATGTGATTTCTATACGTTTTCAAGTACGATTTCAGGAGCAGTTGCTGTTGCAATTCTGCTGCAATTTTACATAGCTGTAATTTCTGTTATGGCTAATTTTGTGACTTCAGAAATAGGTGTATCTTGCACTGAAATCACATGCATATGAACACCTATGTGTTTTCACTGCTGTTTCCGTTCAAGTCTATGGGGCTCAAAAACGCACTGCATCACACCAAACATGCCCAGGACCCTTTTGGAAATCACACTGCATTTGGAACACATAGGTGTGGATGACCTCCATAGAAAGACATGTTATCTCCCTTTACATGCAAATCTATGTGTTCGGGAACGCATCAGAACCTCCTCATATTCGTATCAGCGTGAACCAGGGCTAAAGCTTTCTATGGACTGCAAGCTGTAATGTGGATCAAGTCACTGTCTGCTAGCACTGCTGAGACTGTAAGTTGCAGCTATCTTGACATAACTAGATCAGTTATAGAGATCACATTTGCAGTGCTTAGATTGGAGAGGCAGAACAACGATAGCACTACAAAGCAGAAGCAGGGGAGCCTGCATATGTAATGTGCAGAATGGCTATCCCATGCACATATAAAATTACAAAGTGTACATAGATATACTGTAGGTCCTCCAACTCCAGTTTCATACAGTATGTTGTGTCATATATTCTAACACTGTGAATATGCTCACTGATCATATTTTGGTGAACGCCATTTACTCACCAGTAACATGAACAATTTTTCTTTGACTTCTGTCACTGTCAGCACAAAACACTGAATGTAGCAGCATAACCATAGAAAAAATACAGAGCATTGATGAGAGTGAGAGTCGTCCACCACACATCTGATGGGAGGAAAAAAAGTACATTGGGAGAGATTAAAGGCTGATCAAAACTAAAATCTATTGGTATAAGTAAACTTTACAGAACTAACAATAGTACTTAAAACTCCTATAACAGAGATCTTACATTCAATTATTATTAAGGGAACCCTTCATAAGAGAAACAGGGCAATGTTCGTTAGTTAGTTGTTTGGCTGTGCTGCTTACCCTCTTGCTTTGGTACATTGAGTCACAGACAGGGGACAATTGCACAAATATGGACTTACAACTTTACCATGACTTTCATTACCTACATACATTTTCTAGGTCAGTTACACAGACAATATTGAAGCCAGTAGGTCTGCATGACATTCAATTGACTAGCATTTTAGAATGAAGACTATAGTGGCAGATCCCATGTTTCTCTTCTGACAGGTAATTCCTTCAGTAGCAATTACTTCAAGTAGTAATGCCCATATGATGGAATATAACATAACCACAGATTAGTGTTTCCATTCCCATAACCTGTAATTTAGATATACCAAAGATGTCACTTGTATATACTCGAGATCTGAAAGTAGGGCTATCACTGCTGCAAAATATGGCGGGTACATGGAAAGATAAGTGATATTTCTTCTACAAGACAAGCTAAAAAATAGAGATGAAAAAAATATAAGTTTAGTATGAAGAGCAGTGATATCAGTTTTGTGAAACATAGCTCTTATATGAAAACCAGCGATATCACTCTTCTGAAATATAGCTGATGCTGTTTATGAAGAACCGTTTTATCACTTTTGTGAAAAATGGCTTATATATGAAGAATAGTGATATAATTTTTTTAAAAATACAGTTTATATACAAAGAGAGTGATGCTATACTTCTTCTGAAATATAGCTTATATATGAAGAATGGTATAATGGTATCACTTTTGTAAAATACATAGCTTATACTATGAAAAGCAGTGATGTCACTCTTGCAAAATGTTGTTTATAAATGAAGGGTGAGCATGTCAGTACGTATGATGGGAGGTGTAAACTGTTTATATATGAAGAGCAGTGATGCTATTTTTGTATACTATAGCTTATATATGAAGAGTGGTAATGTCCCTCTGGTGAAATATGACTTATAAATAAAAAGCGGTGGTGTCACTCTTGTGAAAGAGCTGTAAGGTCAATCTTGTGAAATATAACTTACTGTACATATGAAGGGCAGTGGTGTCATTCTTGGGAAAGAGAACTTATAAACGATAAGTGGTGATAGGACTTGTGAAAAAAGGTGACATATATCATGAGTGGTGATATCATCCTTGTGAATTTTAACATATATATGAAGAGCGTTGATGTCACTCTTGTGTAATAAAATATATATTATGAGCGGTGATGTCACCCTTGTGAAATCTAATATATATCATGAGCAGTGATGTCACCCTTGTGAAATATGACTTATATATGAAGAGCTGTGATGTCACTCTTGTGTAAATAAAACATATATCATGAGTGGTGATATCATCCTTGTGAATTTTAACATATATGAAGAGCGGTGATGTCACTCTTGTGTAATATAATATATATTATGAGCGGTGATGTCACCCTTGTGAAATATAATATATATCATGAGCAGTGATTTCACCCTTGTGAAATATGACTTATATATGAAGAGCGTGTGATGTCAATCTTGTGTAAATATAATATATATCATGAGCAGTGATGTCACCTTTGTGAAATATGACTTATATATGAAGAGCGGTGATGTCACTCTTGTGAAAATATATAATGAGCAGTATATGACATGAGCGGTGATGTCACTCTTGTGAAAATAATATATATATATCATGAGCAGTGATGTCACCCTTGTGAAATATGACTTATATATGAAGAGCGGTGATGTCACTCTTGTGAAATATAACTCATTGTGTCAAATATGAATATATATGAAGAGCGGTGAGCAGTGATGTCATGTCCCTTGTGAAATATGACTCATATATGAAGAGCGGTGATGTCACTTTTGTGTAATATAACATATATCATAAGCAGTGATGTCACCCTTGTGAAATGACTTTATGTCACTTTGGGTAATATAAACATATATATGAGAGCGGTGATGTCACTCTTGTGTAATATAACATATATCATGAGCAATGATGTCACCCTTGTGAAATATAACATATATGAAGAGCGGTGATGTCACTTTTGGGTAATATAACATATATCATAAGCAGTGATGTCACCCTTGTGAAATATAACTTATACATGAAGAGTAGTAATGTTGGACTTATGAAAAATAACTTATAAAAGAAAAGCAGTGATGTCACTTTTGTGAAGAATAACTTATATATGAAGAGCGGCAATGACACTCTTATGTAATATAACTTATGTATGACAAGAGGTAATATCAGTCTTGTAAATTATTGTATGAAAGCGGTGATGTTACTTTTGTGAAAGAGAGCTTATATAAAAAATAGCAGTGGGTATAAATTTTGTGAAATATATCTTCTAACTGAACCGCTGTCATTTCACTCCTATGAAACAATCGTAATTTCATGCTTGTCAAATATGACATATATAGAGAGCAGTGATGTCACCCTTGTGAAATATAACTTATACAATCCCTGGAAAAAAGTATGGAATCACCACTCTTGGAAAATGTTCATTCCATTGTTTAATTTTGTAGAAAAAAAATAATGCCACACATGCCTCAAAACTATTTTCATTTAACACTCCAACCTTCTGGTTTAAGAAACACTTAAAAAATTAAAAAATGGAAATAAAACTGTAGTCAGTTGCAACTGTTTATGCAGATCAAACAGAGGAAAAAAATATGGAATCACTCAATTCTGAGGAAAATATTATAGAATCATGAAAAGAACACTACAGTACACCACTAGTACTTTGTTGCAACACCTCTGGCTTTTATAACAGCTTGAATTCTCTGAGGCATGGATTTAACTATCAACAAACAGTATTCTTCATCAATCCGGCTCCAACTTTCTCTTATTGCAGTTGCCAGATCAGATATGCAGGTTGAAGCCTTGTGATGGAACATTTTCTTTCATTTCCACCATAGATTTTCAATTGGATTGAGGTCTTGACTATATTGTAGGCCCTGCCATTCACATTCTGGGCTTGATTTACTAAAGCTGAAGAGTGCAAAATCTGGTGCAGCTGTGCATGGTAGCCAATCAGCTTCTAAGTTCAGCTTGTTCAATTAAGCTTTGACAATAAAACCTGGAAGCTGATTGGTTTCTATGCCGAGCTGCACCAGACTGCACTTTCCAACTTTAGTAAATCAACCCCTATATGTCTTTTTTAAGGAGAGTTTTTATGGCGTTTGCCCTATGACAAGATGCATTATCATCCTGAAAAATGTCATCATTACCAAACATCCTTTCAGTTTGATGGAATAAGAGAAGTGTCCAAAATCTCAATATAAACTTGTGCATTTATTGAAGATTTAATGACTGTCATCTCCCCCGTACCTTTTTCTGTATGTAAATCCCATTTTCTTTAGGCGATGTCTTACAGTTCAGTCACTGACATTGACTCTAGTTTCTGCCCATTTGTTCCTCACTTGTTTTGTTGTACATTTCTGTTTTCAAGGCATATTGCTTTAAGTTTTCTATCATGACGCTTTGATGTCTTCCTTGGTCTACCAGTATGCGTCCCTTTTACAACCTTCCCATTTGATTTGTACTTGGTCCAGATTTTTAGACACAGCTGACTGGGAACAACCAACATCTTTTGCAACATTCTGTGATGATTTACCTTCTTGAAGAGAAGTTTTATAATCCTCTCTTTTGTTTCAACTGACATCTCTCGTGTTGGAGCCATGATTCAAGTCAATCAGCTTGGTGCAACAGGCCACCATGGTGTGCAAGCACTCTTTTTTAACTGCAGACTAATTAGCAGATGTAGTCTGATGCAGATTTTTTAGAACTGCAAATTACATGATGATTCCATAATATTTTCCTCAGAATTGAGTGATTCCATATTTTTTTCCTCTGTTTGATCTGCAAAAACAGTTGCAACTGACTACAGTTTTTTTTTTTAATTTTTTAAGTGTTTCTTAAAGCCAGAAGGTTGGAATGTTAAATGAAAATAGTTTTGAGGTATGTCTGGGATTAGTTTTTTTTTCTACACAAATAATTGAATGAATGTTTTCCAAGAGTGGTGATTGCATACATTTTGCCAGGGGTGGTATATGAAGAGTTGGGATGTCACTCTTGTGCAAATATAATTTATGTATGATAAGCAGTGATGTCGCCCTTGTGAAATAAAACTTATGTATGAAGAGCGGGTAATGGCACTCTTGTGAAAATTATAACTTATGCATGAAGAGCGATGAGGTTACTCTTGTGAAATATAGCTTGTGTAAGAAGAGCGGTGATGTCATTCTTTTGTATTAGAACTTATGTATATGAAGAGCGGTGATGTCATTCTTGTGAAATATAGCTTGTGTATGAAGAGCGGTGATGTCACTCTTGTGAAATATAACTTGTGTATGAAGAGCGGTGATTTCACTCTTGTGAAATATAACTTGTGTATGAAGAGCGGTGATGTCACTCTTGTGTAATAGAACTTGTATATGAAGAGCGGTGATGTCACTCTTGTGTAAATATAACTTGTATATGAAGAGCAGTGATGTCACTCTTGTGTAATATAACTTATGTATGAAGAGCGGTGATGTCACTCTTGTGTAATAGAACTTGTATATGAAGAGCGGTGATGTCACTCTTGTGAAATATAACTTATGCATGAAAGAGCGATGAGGTTACTCTTGTGAAATATAGCTTGTGTAAGAAGAGCGGTGATGTCATTCTTTTGTATTAGAACTTATGTATGAAGAGCGGTGATGTCATTCTTGTGAAATATAGCTTGTGTATGAAGAGCGGTGATGTCACTCTTGTGAAATATAACTTGTGTATGAAGAGCGGTGATGTCACTCTTGTGAAATATAACTTGTGTATGAAGAGCGGTGATGTCACTCTTGTGTAATAGAACTTGTATATGAAGAGCGGTGATGTCACT